CCCACTTGTTTCTGAACTGCCCCTCACTGGCCCCCTCACTGGGTGCCTGACCCCGCCGGCCTTGGCTCTCTGGCCTCCCTGGCCCCCTCACCTACTTTGCACTGCCTGAGGTTGAAGAAAAAGAAAACCGTAGACTGAGTTTAGGTGCTAAACCCTAAAAGGAATAGGTTTGGGTGGTTTGGCCGCCTTAGACGGCGTGGGGTGGGAGAGTGAATAAAAAGAGCCAACCACAATCAGGCTCAAACGTTGAATCGCTTGAGGACGATGCACTCGAAATTACACTGTCGCAAGCTACTCCCGCTTAGGCGCCATTCTACGGCAAACCCTAAACCCTAAACCCTAAACCCTAAACCCTAAACCCTAAACCCTAAACCCTAAACCCTAAACCCTAAACCCTAAACCCTAAATCCCCACCCAGGCCTGCTTAGGCCGTACCCACCCTTTTTCTTAGGGTGCTTGGACCCAAGAAGGAAACCCGGCAGTGATTGACACCAACTCTGGATGGACAATGGGTGGAGCCATTGGAGAGTGGTCGAATTCAGCCCCTAGGGCTGAGCCAAGCCATTAGGCCCCTTGCGTGGCGCCCATATTCGCAGAGGGAATTCCCTCGAACCTCAAGAGATTAAAATACCCTAAACCCGACGACCAAATCCCTTGGTGGTGTTTTCCTTTTGGCCCCCCTCAGAAAAGGCCCCAAAGGCCGGCCCAGGGTGCCCCCCAGCTGGCAAATTCCAGGGACCCGGGGGGCTCCTGGCGGGTCCTAGGGGGAGACCTGGCGTTTTCTGCCCCTGGCCCCCCCCCTGGCCCCCCCTGGCCCCCCTTGGCCCTCCCCTGGCCCTGGCCCGCGTCCTTCCTGGCGCCAACAGACAGACCAGGGGCAGGTGGGAATTGAGGGCGTAAGCGCTAAACCCTAAAAGGCAATGTTTTGGGTGGTAGCCTGTGTATTCTCACAGCGGGTGGGAAAAGGTGAGGAACCAATGTGTAATTGTTTGGTGGTGGAATCGCATTCGAACGCTAGACGTCGATATGCCGCCCCCCCACACCCCTGGGAGTGTTGGGGCGCCATCCTACCTAGAAAATACTGCCGCTGCGCGGCGAGACGCCCTAAACCCTAAACCCTAAACCCTAAACCCTAAACCCTAAACCCTAAACCCTAAACCCTAAACCCTCTCTCTCAAATGAATATTTAAATGTTGAGCCATGTTTTCGTCTGGGACCCCCCAGTGTTGAGGCAGGTTTTTGTCGACAAAACCCTGGTGCAACACTGGTCCCACCAGTGTTGGACCAGGTTTTCGTCAGGACCCCCCAGTGTTGAGGCAGGTTTTTGTCGACAAAAACCTGCCTCAACACTGGTCCCACCAGTGTTGGACCAGGTTTTCGTCAGGACCCCCCAGTGTTGAGGCAGGTTTTTGTCGACAAAAACCTGCCTCAACACTGGTCCCACCAGTGTTGGACCAGGTTTTCGTCAGGACCCCCCAGTGTTGAGGCAGGTTTTTGTCGACAAAACCCTGCCTCAACACTGGTCCCACCAGTGTTGGACCAGGTTTTCGTCAGGACCCCCCAGTGTTGAGGCAGGTTTTTGTCGACAAAAACCTGGTGCAACACTGGTCCCACCAGTGTTGGACCAGGTTTTCGTCAGGACCCCCAGGGTGTTGAGGCAGGTTTTTGTCGACGAAAACCTGGTGCAACACTGGTCCCACCAGTGTTGGACCAGGTTTTCGTCAGGACCCCCCAGTGTTGAGCCAGGTTTTTGTCGACGAAAACCTGGTGCAACACTGGTCCCACCAGTGTTGGACCAGGTTTTCGTCAGGACCCCCCAGTGTTGAGGCAGGTTTTTGTCGACGAAAACCTGGTGCAACACTGGTCCCACCAGTGTTGCTGCAAGCGCATTCTTAGCGATGGCGGCGATGGCTCTAGGGTGGGGAGGGGAGTTGGCAAGAACGTGGACAAAATCCAACACCGTTGCTTGCTTGTTCTAAGTAAAGCAAGTGAAAGACTGGAGTTGTTGCTGTCGCTAAACCCTAAAATTCTTATGGTGTCAATACCGTTGCTTGCTTGTTTCAAGTAATGCAAGTCAAAGATTTAAGTTGCTGCTGTCGCTAAACCCTAAATTCCCTATGGTGTCAACACCGTTGCTTGCGTGCTTTAAGTAAAGCAAGTAAAAAATTGAAGTTGCTGCTGTCGCTAAACCCAAAATTTCGTATAGTTTCAACACCGTTGCTTGCTTGCTTTTGCCTTGGAAGAAGGAATATGGGTCATCCGTCTCAGATAACTGTCTTGGGATTTTTGCCTTGGGAAGACTATGGGTCATCCGTCTCAGATAACTGTCCTGGGATTTTTGCCTTGGGAAGACTATGGGTCATCCGTCTCAGATAACTGTCTTGGGATTTTTGCCTTGGGAAGACTATGGGTCATCCGTCTCAGATAACTGTCTTGGGATTTTTGCCTTGGGAAGACTATGGGTCATCCGTCTCAGATAACTGTCTTGGGATTTTTGCCTTGGGAAGACTATGGGTCATCCGTCTCAGATAACTGTCTTGGGATTTTTGCCTTGGGGAGACTATGGGTCATCTATGGGTCTCAGATAACTGTCTTGGGATTTTTGCCTCATGTCTCAGATAACTGTCTTGGGATTTTTGCCTTGGGAAGACTATGGGTCATCCGTCTCAGATAACTGTCTTGGGATTTTTGCCTTGGGAAGACTATGGGTCATCCGTCTCAGATAACTGTCTTGGGATTTTTGCCTTGGGAAGACTATGGGTCATCCGTCTCAGATAACTGTCTTGGGATTTTTGCCTTGGGAAGACTATGGGTCATCCGTCTCAGATAACTGTCTTGGGATTTTTGCCTTGGGAAGACTATGGGTCATCCGTCTCAGATAACTGTCCTGGGATTTTTGCCTTGGGAAGACTATGGGTCATCCGTCTCAGATAACTGTCCTGGGATTTTTGCCTTGGGAAGACTATGGGTCATCCGTCTCAGATAACTGTCTTGGGATTTTTGCCTTGGGAAGACTATGGGTCATCCGTCTCAGATAACTGTCTTGGGATTTTTGCCTTGGGAAGACTATGGGTCATCCGTCTCAGATAACTGTCTTGGGATTTTTGCCTTGGGAAGACTATGGGTCATCCGTCTCAGATAACTGTCTTGGGATTTTTGCCTTGGGAAGACTATGGGTCATCCGTCTCAGATAACTGTCTTGGGATTTTTGCCTTGGGAAGACTATGGGTCATCCGTCTCAGATAACTGTCTATACTTTGCGCCTGTATGTACTCCCCTGCCCACCCTAGAGCCTTTAGGGAATTTAGGGTTTAGGCATGTCTATACTGCAGCACTAGAAACATAAGTATCCGTAGAAATCGAGTTGTAGGGTTTGAAGTTTGATGTCGTCTGAGGGTAACGAAAAAAACTTTCTAACTCTTATGTTTTGGGATTCTTTGGGTGGGTGGGTATTCTTCCAAGTTCTTACTAGCGAACTTGACTAGAGACTGCTCGACCAGAGCTGCTGAACCCTAAACCCTAAACCCTAAACCCTAAACCCTAAACCCTAAACTCAAGGCATAGGCCGCCCACCTACTGTGGGTGGGCGGCGCTTAAGCCCCTCGACCTCGATGGCGCAGAGCGACCCAAGACGCCTGCCCGCCTCTCCACAGCCATGGGGACGGTAGCACCCACGTCAGGCCCGGTACCGGAGCCGGTTCTCCTCGGGACCAGTACTGGTCCCTTAATAAAGTCATTACCCTAAACCCTGAGGTCGAGACCCTGGGGTCCCGACCTCTTCCAGAGCACTGCCCAAAAAGGACCCCCTTCTTGAGGGGCCTGGGGCCGCCAGCCAGCGGAGTTCCAGGACGCAGGGGCCTCCAGGCCGGTTCTAGGAGGGGTCCTGGACTTGGCATTTCTCGCCTTGCTGGTTGCTTGCTGGCCCGGCCTGCCCTCCCTCACCCCTGGCCGGGGCCGGCCCCTTAGCCCCCTGCCCTTCCCAAAAGTGGTGCCGGACACGGTCGAAAAAGTGGCGCCGGACACTGTCCCGGCCTTTCTGTGGGCCTCCAAAAAGTGGTGCCGGACACGGTCCAGCAAGTGGCGCCGGACACGGTCTCTGGGGGGGGCCCTACTTTGTCCGGCGTCGGCGCCTGACGCACTCCAAAAGTGGCGCCGGACGCTGTCGGACTTTGTCCGGCGCCGGCGCCGGACGCTCTCCGAACCGTGTCCGGCGCCGCTCGCCGGTACTTGGCGTGCTCGCTGGCGCCGTTTTGGACGCAATCTGCTGCCCTGCAAGCCATTTCTCTACCCAAATATGACTTTTCTGAAATTTCGTTTTGTCCTGTGCCACGTTTTTTTTTTTAATCTGCCAGCAAACTGTGTTTTGCGTGAGATCTGGGTTCTTTCCAATCTGTGCGATTCGGCGTCCGCATTCATTTTTCCTCAGCAGCGTCTTGTCTTTTTCTCAAGTCTTGCCTGATGTCGTTCTCGGTGAAGCTGGAAGCATCCTTGGATTGAGCCCAAAACTGCAAAGTACTTGGCCTAGTTTTTGCGTCTTTTCGAAAACCTTAATTTTAAGAACAGTAAATCTATTTTAGATGTAGTGGCTTTAGTAATCTTTTTCCTTTGTCTTTTTTCGGGTTCGGGTCTATACACATACGAAATTAACTTGACGTCCGAATCGACTTTGTGGCAGCCAAGGCAGAGGACGTTTCGCAGCTTTGAATGATTCTGGCACACTCCTTCCAGATGACAAGTGCACGCACATGTCGTCGTCCCTCGCGGACCGTATCACCCCTTCGCGGACTATAGGGCGGCTGCACCTGGCGCTCATGCAAAAGTTGGCAATGTTATCGGTGAGTTTGTATAGCCACACGCAGGTCGAGGTCAGCATGTGCCGCTGAGAGCTGCTTAGTCCTCCAGTCTTCTGATCCTGCTTCTAGCTGGCTTACACCTGGCTCAAGCTATCTTCAGACCGCTGTATTCTAGCATTTGGCTCGACGGCCAGCCTCGGACAAGCCATGCCGCCAAAATGTGCGGGGCAAGAGGGGGACAACCTTGTGCCGTGTGTCTTCAGCACCCAAGACATCGGCCAGGCTGCACGCGTGCATCCGGGGCGCCACGGCGGCGGGTCGCGGTGCCTCTTCTGCGCCGGCGACGTCTTGAACCAGCGCTTGGCCACTGCCCGCGGCAAGGGGGTCATCACGACGGCTTTGGCATTTTTTCAAGAGCATGGGCCTCTTGACGTCCTTCCGCAGGCCGTCCAGCGCGTGAAAGCTTTGGCCGGCGAGGATGCTTGGACTGACTGTGCCACGCGCTTGCAGCACTGCTTGCAGAAACGTGGCCGTACACAACAAGACCGTGCAGAGCGGCGGCAGCAGAACGTCCGCAACCGAGCCGGGGGACTCGCAACGTGGGCGCCGGTCTTGGAAGAGCGGCGGGCTCAATATTCCCCATCGGCGCAGGATGTGGCTGCAGAGAAGACGGCAGAGCTGGCGCAGCAGCGTGCATTGCAGCGCAAGTTCCCTGCTGTGTACAATCCAGATGTTCGCGACCCCAGCAAGTGGCAAACGGAAATGGCAGCGACCTTCCGCCGTTTCGCACAGGATTGGTCCTGGTCTTCCTGCCAGAAATGCCACCGCATGGTGCCACAAAAATTCCACCCCAAGCATGTGCGGTCGGCGGGACGCTTGCGGCCCCAGCTAAAAGCGTGTGCCCACTGCAAGAGTGGCGTGGGCTACTGGTCACCCCGTCCTTCAGATGTGCCTGAGCCTTTACGTCAACTTGCACAGTCCGTTCTTGACGCCTTGGCCATCCTGGATGTCTACACCGGCCCCTTGGAGAGGGCACCTCAAGGTTACTTGGTCCACACAGGGTGTGTGCGCTTCAGCTGGAAGCCGACCTCCGTTGAAGAGCGCTTGAGCGGTCTTCCGCGCCCGGAGTGGCGCCTGGGCCGGGCTGCTTACGAGTGGCTCATCGCGGCGGAGGACTGCACCTACCTCGACTTCCTTCAAGCCCACGACGCCTTCCTTCGCCAGCGTCAGCGTCTCTTGGACCAAGCCGAGCTCGAGACCTCGGCGCCCATCCCGTGGCTGCCATTGCGCTTTATGGAGACTGTCGGGTTGGAATGCGCTGTTTGGCCGCACCTGTACTGGTGTCGCAGCATGTGCGAAACCTTCGTGCGCAGCTCTGACCGGCGCCGCTTGGATCGTGCACGCCGCGTGGCCGCTGGTGACGAGGAGCCGGACGACTTCGAAGCGGTCGACGCGGACGGAGATGCGGCAATGCCTGCGGTTGTGGACGACGGCTCTGACCTCGAGGAGGACTCCGACGAGCCCATCGAAGACGAAGACGGAGACGGTCCAGGAGGGACGGAATCGCGGCAGAGTGCCAAGGCAAGCTTCATGGCAAAGGTTTTCTCCTCCGTCATCGGCTATGGCTCCAACCGCCCCCTCGCCCAATTTGTCTACGACTTATGGCTGTGGAGTTCGCTCGGTGGGGCGCGCAACGCCGTCCCCACGACGTTGCGTGGGGCCCTAGCCGGTCGCAGCTTCTCTCCCCTGTATTGGCGCAACATGCATGCTGGCCTGGTCGACTGCGCCCGCCAGATCGGCTTTCCGTCCTTGTTCATCACCGTGGCGCCACTTGAGATGTCCGCCCCCTATCACTGTTGGTTGGAGGACGAATTGAAGAAGGCCTGCCGCGCGCGAACACACCTGCCTGCCGCGGAAACATTCCACTTGGCTCACCTCCTCTTCCAGCTGGCTGAAGGTTTGTTGACGGGAAGCAACCGCCAGCAGCAAGGAAGGCCTGCAAGAAGATGGACGCAGCACGTGCTGGCGGCCGAGGATCCCGCGACTGCGACGGTCGTGGAGATGTTTGGGCGCCTGGAATTCCAGGATGGCAAAAGGAAGCGACACGTCGGGCCTTCCCAGTCCTATCATGGTTCTGGCCGTGTGCACCTGCACTTGCTGGTCTGGCTGCAGAATGCGGACCAAGTGCCCTGGTCCCGCATCTTACGCGCCGACATTCCCTCTGCAGATGACGAGCCGGAGCTGCATGATTTGGTTCGCGGCTCCCAACTAGACTGGGACACCAGCGCTTGGCCGCGCCATGACGGCCCGACCGTGTACGACAAGGACGCCCAGCTCTTGCGGTTGCATCATCCCGCAGATGCCCATGCAGCCCACGTCCGCGCCTTCATGCCTGACGTCCTCGAAGCACTGCAGTGTCATATGGACGTCCAGATGGGCGACGGCCGGGGGTTGCTGCTGCAGTACACCTCCACGTACGCGGCGAAGTTCAGCGACCAGTTCGCAAGCAGTTGGCTCAACGAGGAGGCGACCGACTTCCAGCTTGCCCGCAAGGTGTTGACCGAGTATCACCCGCTCGAGCCAGAAATGTGGCTCCAGCTCGGAGGCCAGCAATTCCGGCAGGTGCTGCAGACGGGGGTGTTGCGGCGAGTGGTCCTGCGACCTCCTTGGAAAGGCTTCCCCCCAAGCCGCTGGGAGCAGCTGTACATGACTTCTGCCTGGCGCCCGGATGATTGCACGCTCCTCGAGTTTCTCAGGCTTGCCAATGAGTCGGGCGAGCGACGCAAGAACCGCCGGCGCGTCCTGGTGGCAGCTGCCATGGATTCAGCCTTCCACGAAAGCTTTTATGGCCAGTGGCTGCTGCTCCACGTGCCTTTCCGAACCTTCGCGGAGCTTTGGGATGACCGCGTTCTTGCTGTACCTGAAGGCTATCGCATGTTGGCCCTGTGTCTTTTGAAGCGCCCCGGCTTCTGGCGCCGTCTGCACGACGTTCGGGACGAGTTGCAGTTGGAGGGCCACAGAGACGCCCACATCTGCAATGTCCTCAGCATGGTGGAAAGTCGCACGGCCGTCATCGATGCTTACCTCTCGGGACAGCTCACCCTGGACGAGGACATGCCTCCGGCCGACGGCTTCCTGGACGCGCCCGAAGTTGGCTATCAGGGCGAGCTGGACCCAGAGCAGGCCGTCGTCGTCGAACACATCCGGACCATGGTCAACTTGGCGCTGGAACGCCGCTACCCTGAAGACCCCGACGGCACCGCCATGCAGGAGTATGTCCGGAAGCTGCAAACCAGCAGGGCACAGGTGGCCCGTCCCTTCTGCGTGCTGGGTCCTGCGGGGTCCGGCAAAAGCACGGCCGTGGAAGTGGCAATCCGTCGCGCTGTCGACGCCGGCGCCCACGTGGGCATCGCCTGTCCGACGGGTATGCTTGCAAGCTCATACCGCAGCAAGTTTCCCGGCTTGGACGTGGACACCTTGCATGGCATGTTCCTCCTGCACTTGCCGCAAGAGCAGACCTGGGACTGCATGGCCTCCTTCGACGTGGTCGTCATCGATGAGATCGGCCAGCTCTCGCGCTACACCCTGGAACGGTTGTTGTGGCTTTGGGACAACGCGGACCGCCGCCCCGCTATCATCTTCCTCGGCGACTTCCACCAACTCCGTGGGATGGACAGTACCCGGGCCTGCGACAGCCCACGTTGGCAGCCGGTCGTCGTGCGCCACTTGCGCACTATGCGCCGTTGCAAGTGCGCGGAACTGCGGTGGAAGTTGGAGCTCTTGCGGACTGCCAAGCCCAATAAAGACCAGCTGCATCGCATCCTTCGCGGCCATCGCGCTGCTCCGGATCGCGGTCCGGGCGTGAGCCCAGAGCCCACGGAGCTGGACGTCCAGTACATCCTGGAGGAAACCCCACAGACTCTCTTCCTAACGATCACGCGGCGCAACGCTGCCCTACTCAACGACCTGGCAGTCCACGCACTCTACTCCGACGCGCTTCCCCTCGCGGTCGTTCCGGGCGACTACGAAAGCAACCTCGCCAACTACAACCAGGCCGGCCAGCTTGTCGACTGCGAGCCCGTGCAAGTCGCCATCTACGAGGGTATGCGGGTCACCCTGACCCGAAACCTCCAGAAGGAGCAGAACTTCGTCAACGGCATGCGCTGCGTGGTTCTGGGGATGCAGCGCGGCTCCGTGCTGGTCCGCACCGAGTGCGGCAACGTGCTCTCGGTTTTCCCCTTTACGGACGACGAGATTGACATCGACGGCGAGCAGCACCGTGCAACCTACTTCCCTCTCCGACTCGGCTATGCCGTCACCTTGCAGAAGATCCAAGGCGCCACCCTGGAGCATATTACTGTGTGGCTCGATGTACCCAATGTAGAAGCGGCTGCTTATGTCGCCCTCTCCCGGGTACAGTATGACAACCAGTGGCGTTTTCTTGGACATGCCACGCGACATCACTTCACGCCCGCTTCCGGCATCTGATTCGCGAGGCTCTGCACTTGCTCTCTTCTTCTTAGGCGCAAGGCAAGCTCAACAGAAGCCCTGCCACGTGAGCCGTCCTCGTCGTGTAACGGCCAAGACTGAAAACGGCTGTACCAGGCTGTTGTAGATTGTAACACTTTTGCTGTCGCTGCCACGGCATTGTTGGGCAGTGACCGAGGGAGTGGAGTTCTCAACCACGTCGCGTTTCTGACAAAAACTCCCGCTGTCGTTCCGGCTTGCCGTCGACAGATCAGTTGCAAGCAATCCCTGTCTTTGGCAAGCATCGGCTCGAATCTGAAGGTCACCGAAAGCGCAGGTCCTCCCATGTCTGCCATGCTTCACCTGTGGGCCTGCCCAACTACTGATCACTGGCTCCTCGTCTGCAGTCATATCTCCGATTCGACGTCTGCGTTGTGCGCAAAAGCCCCTTCTGCACTGCATTTTACGTGTCAGCACAATAGGGACACAAATGCTGCAAGGCCACCCAGAGCTCGACACTCAGCGCCGCAGGCTTACAAAAGCACGAACTTGCGAAAGCGTTCGATCTTGCTCCCGAGCTTCGCCACAACTTGTCGACCCCGGCTTTTTTTCAATGCATCGCGGTGCCGTGCCTGAAAGATTGCCTTACCGGTTTTAGCACACGTCTGCCCGTCCTTGGTCACAGTAACCTCTCGAAGTGCAACTCTACAAACCACGACAGAATGGACGTCAATAGCAAGCATCGGCTCGAATCGAGTTACAAAAGCACGAACTTGCGAAAGCGTTCGATCTTGCTCCCGAGCTTTGCCACAACTTGTCGACCCCGTTTTTTTTTCAATGCATCGCGGTGCCGTGCCTGAAAGATTGCCTTACCGGTTTTAGCACACGTCTGCCCGTCCTTGGTCACAGTAACCTCTCGAAGTGCAACTCGACAAACCACGACAGAATGGACGTCAATAGCAAGCATCGGCTCGAATCGAGTTACAAAAGCACGAACTTGCGAAAGCGTTCGATCTTGCTCCCGAGCTTTGCCACAACTTGTCGACCCCGGCTTTTTGTCAATGCATCGCGGTGCCGTGCCTGAAAGATTGCCTTACCGGTTTTAGCACACGTCTGCCCGTCCTTGGTCACAATAACCTCTCGAAGTGCAACTCCACAAACGACAACAGAATGGACGTCAGTAGCAAGATTCGGCTCGAATCGAAGGTCCCTGCGTCTGCCATGCTTCATCTGTGCGCCTGCCCAACTTGCTCCCTAGCACCTGGCCCCCTCCTGGCCCCGCGCTCCCCCCCGCCTTTTGGACCCCTAGTCCCCCCCCCGGCCTGGCCTCCCCCTTGGCCCTTACCTCCTGCCGTACTCTGCCCTGCCTTTTGGCTGCAGAATTGTGTGTTTGTTGTTAACCAAAATGGACCTAACAGAGTTTAGATCCTAAACCCTAAAAGGTATAGGTTTGGGCGGTTTGCCGCCTCAGACGGCGTGGGGTGGGTGAGTAATGTGATGGCCCGCCACAGTCGGGCCATGTCTGCGATTCGCAGGCAACAAAACCGCTAATAAATCCTACAATCCTTGTTGCACTACCGCTACGCAATCTTGCAGCAAACCCTAAACCCTAAACCCTAAACCCTAAACCCTAAACCCTAAACCCTAAAAACCTCTTAAAACCCTAAACCCGTAAACCCTAAACCCAAACCCCCCTAAACCCTAAACCCTAAACCCTAAACCCTAAACCCCTAAACCCCAAAACCCTAAACCCTAAACCCCTAAACCCTAAACCCTAAACCCTAAACCCTAAACCCTAAACCCTAAACCCTAAACCCTAAACCCTAAAACCCTAAACCCTAAACCCTAAACCCTAAATTCCCACCCAGGCCTGCTTAGGCCGTACCCACCCTTTTTCTTAGGGTGCTTGGACCCAAGAAGGAAACCCGGCAGTGATTGACACCAACTCTGGATGGACAATGGGTGGAGCCATTGGAGAGTGGTCGAATTCAGCCCCTAGGGCTGAGCCAAGCCATTAGGCCCCTTGCGTGGCGCCCATATTCGCAGAGGGAATTCCCTCGAATCTCAAGAGATTAAAACACCCTAAACCCGACGACCAAATCCCTTGGTGGTGTTTTCCATTTCGCCCCCCTTCAGAAAAGGCCCCAGAGGCCGGCCCAGGGGCCCCCTCAGCTGGCAGATTCCAGGGACCCGGGGGGCTCCTGGCCGGTCCTAGGGGGAGACCTGGCGTTTTCTGCCCTTCCTCGGCTTTCTGCTCGTCTGGCCCCTCTGCTGGGACTCCGAGGGCCCCCCTGGCTCCCCTGGGCCCCCCCCTGGCCCCTGGCCCCCCCTGGCCCTCCCTGGCCCCCCCTGGTTTCCCCTGGCCCCCCCTTGGCTGTCCCCTGGCCCTCGCCCCTGGCCCTCACCCTATCTGTTTTGTGGCGTGTGCGTCCTTCCTGGCGCCAACAGACAGACCAGGGGCAGGTGGGAATTGAGGGCGTAAGCGCTAAACCCTAAAAGGCAATGTTTTGGGTGGTAGCCTGTGTATTCTCACAGCGGGTGGGAAAAGGTGAGGAACCAATGTGTAATTGTTTAGTGGTGGAATCGCATTCGAACGCTAGACGTCGATATGCCGCCCCCCCACACCCCTGGGAGTGTTGGGGCGCCATCCTACATAGAAAATACTGCCGCTGCGCGGCGAGACGCCCTAAACCCTAAACCCTAAACCCTAAACCCTAAACCCTAAACCCTAAACCCTAAACCCTAAACCCTAAACCCTACACCCTAAAAACCCTAAACCCTAAACCCTAAACCCTAAACCCTAAACCCTAAACCCCTAAACCCTAAACCCTAAAACCCTAAAACCCGAAACCCTAAACCCCTAAAACCCTAAAAAACCCTAAACCCTACAACCCTAAAACCCTAACCCTTAAAATTCCCACCCAGAGGGCCCAGTCCTGCTAGCCGTAACCCCACGCCTTTCTCTTAGGTGCTTGGACCCAAGAAGGAAATCCGGCAGTGATTGACACCAACTCTGGATGACAATGGGTGGAGCCATTGGAGAGTGGTCGAATTCAGCCCCTAGGGCTGAGCCAAGCCATTAGGCCCCTTGCGTGGCGCCCATATTCGCAGAGGGAATTCCCTCGAATCTCAAGAGATTAAAACACCCTAAACCCGACGACCAAATCCCTTGGTGGTGTTTTCCATTTCGCCCCCCTTCAGAAAAGGCCCCAGAGGCCGGCCCAGGGGCCCGCTCAGCTGGCAGATTCCAGGGACCCGGGGGGCTCCTGGCCGGTCCTAGGGGGAGACCTGGCGTTTTCTGCCCTTCCTCGGCTTTCTGCTCGTCTGCCCCTCTGCTGGGACTCCGAGGGCCCCCCTGGCTCCCCTGGGCCCCCCCCTGGCCCCTGGCCCCCCCTGGCCCTCCCTGGCCCCCCCTGGTTTCCCCTGGCCCCCCCTTGGCTGTCCCCTGGCCCTCGCCCCTGGCCCTCGCCCTATCTGTTTTGTGGCGTGTGCGTCCTTCCTGGCGCCAACAGACAGACCAGGGGCAGGTGGGAATTGAGGGCGTAAGCGCTAAACCCTAAAAGGCAATGTTTTGGGTGGTAGCCTGTGTATTCTCACAGCGGGTGGGAAAGGTGAGGAACCAATGTGTAATTGTTTGGTGGTGGAATCGCATTCGAACGCTAGACGTCGATATGCCGCCCCCCTACACCCCTGGGAGTGTTGGGGCGCTATCCTACATAGAAAATACTGCCGCTGCGCGGCGAGACGCCCTAAACCCTAAACCCTAAACCCTAAACCCTAAACCCTAAACCCTAAACCCTAAACCCTAAACCCTAAACCCTAAACCCTAAACCCCTAAACCCTAAACCCTAAACCCTAAACTCAAGGCATAGGCCGCCCACCTACTGTGGGTGGGCGGCGCTTAAGCCCCTCGACCTCGATGGCGCAGAGCGACCCAAGACGCCTGCCCGCCTCTCCACAGCCATGGGGACGGTAGCACCCACGTCAGGCCCGGTACCGGAGCCGGTTCTCCTCGGGACCAGTACTGGTCCCTTAATAAAGTCATTACCCTAAACCCTGAGGTCGAGACCCTGGTGCCCTTTTGCCTCCTCGAAAATGCCCCCAGAAAGGGACCCCCCCAGGGGGGCTTGGGGCCTCCAGCGAGCAGAGTTCAAGGACCTAGGGCCTCCAGAGGCGGTCCTAGGGGGCTCTGGGCAGGAAATTGCTAAAATAAGGCCTGGCGCTTTTAACCCCCCCTCCTGGGCCCCCCTGGGCCCCCCTGGCCCCCCTGGCCCCCCTGGCCCCCCCTGGCCTGCCCCTCCCCCTGCCGCCCTGCCCTGCCCTGGCCTGGCCTGCCCTACCGCCTGCCCTGCTGTCTGCCTGCCCTGCCTGCCCTGCCCTGCCCTGCCCTGCCCTGGCCCTCAGAAGTTTGATGGTCAGAAGGGGGAAGATTGAGGCCAAGAGGGACCTAATTGAGTTTAGGTCTAAACCCTAAAAGGAATAGGTTTGGGTGGCTTGGCCGCCTCATACGGCGTGGGGTGGGATAGGAAGAAAGGAAAAGCCTTCCATGATCAGGCTTTCGCAGCTACTCGCAGTAGTACAACGCACTTGACACGACCTTGTCGCAAATTACTTTCGCCTACGCGCTATTCTACGGCAAAACCCTAAACCCTAAACCCTAAACCCTAAACCCTAAACCCTAAACCCTAAACCCTTAAACCCTAAACCCTAAACCCTAAACCCTAAACCCTAAACCCTAAATTCCCACCCAGGCCTGCTTAGGCCGTACCCACCCTTTTTCTTAGGGTGCTTGGACCCAAGAAGGAAATCCGGCAGTGATTGACACCAACTCTGGATGGACAATGGGTGGAGCCATTGGAGAGTGGTCGAATTCAGCCCCGAGGGCTGAGCCAAGCCATTAGGCCCCTTGCGTGGCGCCCATATTCGCAGAGGGAATTCCCTCGAATCTCAAGAGATTAAAACACCCTAAACCCGACGACCAAATCCCTTGGTGGTGTTTTCCATTTCGCCCCCCTTCAGAA